TTGTGAGAAGCCACAAACAAAAACAATCCCCATGTGCACTTAGCATGGCCTCTCTGCATACTCCTCCATAGAAAGCAAACTCATAGGTTCTTCTTGTTCCTGCTGTGATTATGCAATTCTCCAGTTTAGTAAATACGGCATCTGCCAATTGCACCGCATTAACACTCGCAGCTCAGCCCTCATCAAACCYAAAAGTTGGATATAATTCCACACTGCTGGCAAGCTTGCAGCATTTCCTTCTACTGGGCCATAAATGCTCCCATCAAATTATCTTTGTTCACTCTGCAGAGAATCCTCGGGAGAGATTACCTTAACCACTGCGGCCTTAAATTCCTTTGGTATTCATTTTCCTTAGGAAGTATGAACYACACTGGGAATGCAAAATACCAGTGACCCCAGCCGTGTTCTCGGACTAAGAGACTGCAGAAAGACTAAGAGACTTTGGTAAGTTTTGAAACTGGGGCTGCTATAGAGATTTCTTTTTTCCAATGCTTTTAAGGTTACAAGCAGCAGAACTGCTCAGTACTTCAGATAGCCCAATGAAACCACAGTGACTTTTATAAAAAGCAGGGTCAAATGATGCTTYTATTTTTATTCCTTTTAATATGAAATTTTTATCTCCTTTGTGGAGAAAAGCCAGTAGGATTCAACAGAGCATCTTTCTTGCGTGATAGGTGCATGCCAAATACAGCTATYGTACAAGAAAAGCAAAGCAACATTCTGGGCATCACCGCTCAGCAGTCCTGCAGGAAATACAAGTTTCAGGTCCAAACCTCCATCTCCTGAGGTCTGTACAGGTGTAGGGACCTGCAGCACTGCTCCACCAAAAATGTGCCAAAAAGTCCTTAATGAAAAATACTAAGACCTGTGAGTATTTTCCTTAGGGAGTCTCTCTTATCACCTGATGTTATGCATTTCTTCATCTACCTCCTTCAAGGTCTCAGGGGTCTCTTCTTTGAAAGGAAACAGCCCTCCTGAAATGAATTTTTTAGAGGACTCTGATATTCAGTAAGGCAGCACAGGACACAAGATTTTGCTCTAAACGGCCTGTATGTGTTACTAATAAATTGTTGACTGAAAAAAAACCTTTTCAAATTATAAAGACCTTTTGCCTCATCTAGAGCATTTGTTTATAGTGTAGAGAGATAGTTATTTATCATCAACTTGTTATTTATCATCAACCTGTTATTTATCATCAACTCTAAGTTACATATTAGACAAAATCTAACATCTGAGTCAAGTATTTGCTAGAGTTTAAGTGCCTGCATGAGAATATAAACTCTGAACAGGAATACTCAGAGCCAAATAAAAATACTTTTTCCTAAGGGATTTTTAAGCTTCCAATGAACTATGAGTATTGATCTTGCTCTATATCTGTGGAAATAAGTTTCTGTAAAATTGTATTAAAGACCTAAGTCAACCTCATTACAGTCTTGATTTACCCACTATTTMCTAGCAATATTTCAAACCACTCTTTCAGAGGAAATGACAGTGACAAAAAAAGAATCATTATGAAAGCTGAAAAAAGAAGATGTCTACTTTAGAGGGAATTCCTAGTAAAATGTATATTATATGCAAATAGGATTTGCTCTCAAATGTCACTAGGATTCTCTAACGCAATAGTCCCTGTTTACATATCAAGTACAGAAAAAACCCAACTTGAGTGCAAACAAAAAACATATACCTGATATATATGTTGTCTAMTATTGTATTTCTTTTGATACTTCTAAGAAAAAGCCAAAGGTTCTAATGTGCAATAATAAAAGTCTGGTCTCAGCTGTGGGGTTTTTGTTTTTTTGCTTTAGGGTTTTTGTTTTTTTTTCAAAAAAAAGAGAAAAGCTCAGGCAATATACAAACTGTTACTATTTCAGCAGTAGACAAATGCTAGATAAACACTCCTTAATAGCAGTTTATCCTATAAAAATAATTTACCCCCCCTCTGAATGCTGATGCCTGGAGACAGCAGCAGTCCAATGAATATAAATTATATCAGGATTCTGGAACGTACTTTGACAGAATAAAAACTGAATAAAAATTTCAATAACARCCTCCTAATTCTGACTGATGACATTTGCAAAAGAATGCAACACTTTGAAGACTTTGTGGCAACACTTCAACAGCGAGCCCTTGCTTATACAACTGGAAGCCTTAATTGTTTTCAGCTTTCAAGAGACTGTCTGCTTCGCTTCACTAAATTCATGTCCTGYTCAGTTTGGCTACTGTAAAATACACACATACACACAAACCCTGGGGTTTAAAAACTTCCATCCTAGAATTAAAGCTTTTTTTTTTTTTTCAGCAAAAGTGAAGTTCTGCTTGGGGCCAGGGGAGGATGGATGGAGGGAAGGATGGATGGATGGATGGATGGATGGATGGATGGATGGATGGATGGATGGATGGATGGATGGATGGATGGATGGATGGATGGATGGATACTGGAACACAGCCTGGCCGTACACGGCCGCCGCTGCGCCCTCTGGCGGGGACAGCCCCGCTCCGGCCAGTGCAGCACCGCACCCTGGCAACCAAAGTTTAGGGTTTAGAAACCCCCAGGGGCAGACAGATAAGTTCCAGCATGCCTGGAATATTATTTCACTTGAATTGGTCCGTCTTGATTTTCCCCAGCAAGGTAATTCTGAGGAGCTGGCAAAAAAAACGCCTTCTTATTTTTTCCATCCCTGTTGAAACCAGAGCGTATCCCTTTGGTAGCATCCTCCAAAAGCTTCCCTGGCTCCAACTCTGCCAGGGTTTACTGTATATTTCCATCTCTTGATACTGTTATTCCATTCATTTTCAATCAGTTGTTTTGTTACTATTTGAAGAAAATGTCAAAACATTCCCTTAAGAATTTGCATCTTCCTCAAACATTTATACTTTAATTCTTTAAAGCTTTTATCTGAGCTGATGCAAAGGGATACAGTAGGTGCTAAATAAAGCAAAACTTTGAAACATCACTTTTTATTTTGACTCACAGAACTTGAAGTCGAGTTTCCGGCTCTACATATTTATACTCTTCTCACTGATTAGGCACAGTTTATCACTTTTTTTTTTTTTCCCAAATAGCAACAAACAAACAAACCAAGAAAAAAAATAAAATTTGATTTTGAAGATGGCATTTAATTATTACTGTCATAATACAGGCTTTTTAATCAAGAGCTATGGAAAAGATGCCAAAGTTATAAACTGCTAGATGTCAAAACTGATTTCGGATCACCCATCTTGCTAGTTGAAGGGAACAATTACTTGCTCTATTTTCTTCAGAAAGTATTAAACATCAAAATACTATTTGCCTGATTATAAACTCTTTCATACATCATATCACATTCAGGAGAACATAAGACATTATTAAATGATTTATGAATAAGGGTCCCCTGGTAAACCTTCTATTTTGCATCTCCTGGTACAGACATTGATGACTACTATTACCTAACAGCCTAAATCAGTGATGTGTGGTGTTTATTTGCCCACTGATAAATTTTATTTCGTTTAGTCAGCACTAATATCTTATTGTCTGGATACGATGGCTTGAAGATGACAAACTTTGCAAGCTCAGTCCACTATCACACAAGATAGCAATTCTCTTTTGCTAATGTCACCACCACACTTTATTTTCCCTTATAACTAACATTAACAAATACCAACATTTGTGGCCCAAGGCCCTGAGAGTGGCAATGTAAGGTTTGCAGCAGTACATGAAAAGCCTCCTCCTGGTTTTTCCCTGTGGCCCCAAGTGACATGTGAGCCCCGGCAACCTGCTGAGCCGCCCCGTCGTTCAGCAATTCCAAAACTCAGTGGTAGGCCTCTGCCCGGGAAATTCCCGCTCTGTCTAGTGCATAATGTCACTGGACATTTAAAAAAAACTACCGGGAAACAGTGACCACAAAACTTTTCACGTTTGCATCAAGCCTCTAAGAAAAGAAGGGGCAGTTCTGTTGCACCGGGGAAGCCAGTGGGCGTGCTCCATCTGATAATAATCTAGCTGGTATTTCGAATACACAGGCATAGCTTTTGAAAACACCTATAAACCAGCAGCTACCGGAGAAAGGTCCCCTGACACACAAACCCTACGACTTTTCTCACTATCCGCAAATGTGCTAAGATTTCCTTTAGCAGCTTTCTCCTCCACAGCACAAGAATGCWGGATATAGAAGGCTTTAGTGATCAAAAGGGAGCCCCATGCTGCGAGAAACAGTGGCCCAGGAGAAAGCAKTACAGGTGCTGCGTGTCACGCATTAACAGGTGTCTCAGGGAAGGACTGACAGGAGGACCCCGATACTTCTCATGCAAACTTAGTCAACAGAGACTCTCTCTCTCCTAACGAACAGGTCCCACGGCCCCTGGGGCGTCTTCCTTTATCTTTCTCCTTCTCTCAAACGCCCGGTTTCCAGGGAAGGCTGCAAGCTACTGGCTTCCGCGGGGGAGGAGAGTGCCCGCTAGCTCTCCCAGGCAGGATCTGCAGGGAAACTTTGCCATCCCTCCACGGCTCGCTGCCGGGAGAGCCGGGGGGCCCCGGCGCTGGAGGGYGGGCGGGGGAGGCTGCCGGGGCGCCTCTCCGGGGGCTCCGTCCCTCCCTTCCCGGCGTTAGAGCGGAGCCCCCCGCGTCTCGTACACGGCTGGGAAGGAGGCTCCGGGGACCCCGCGGAAGGGCTGGGAAGGGGAACAGCACCGGCTCCCGGTGATCGCGGGGCAGATCCATTAAAGGAGGAAAGTACCGAATTCCCATTAAAAAAAGAAATTAAGTGAATGTAGAGCTCTTTCCGGAGAAGCCAGGGTAGGGAAGGGTAAGAAGCCGGGACCCCGGGCCTCTCTCGGGAAGAGGGAGAGCAGCCCCGAACGGCGTTCGCCCTCTCCGGGAACGCGGCCCGTGGAGCCCACACGGCGGGGGCTGCGGAGGCGGCCCGGCCCCCCGACCCCGGCCCGACCCCGCCCCGGCCGCGCTGCCCCGGGCTCCGCGGAGCTGCCCGGGCCGGCCCCGCCCGGCAGGTACCGGCCTCACTTACCGSGGCTCTGCCTCGGCGTCTCCCCGCCGGCGAGCTGGCAGCGCTCGCTCAGGCACTGGAAAAGTAATAGAAATCCAGCGGCTAGTTTGCTCCTCCGCAGCCTCGCCATAGCACGGAGCCTGCCGAGACAACTCTCCGGGTGCGGGGTGCGCGCCGCTCCTCGTCGYTGGTGGGGAGGTCCGGGGGCGGCGGAGAGCAGCCCTAGCAGGCGCCGAGCCGCCGTGTCCTCGGAGCAGCGCTCATACAGTGGGGCGGCACGGACGAGCCGCTGGGGCTGAAGGCGCTGCACCGGGTCTGGGGGGCGCTGGAAGGAGGGGGGCGGGGGGGGGCTCCGTCCCCCTAACTCGCACGGTCGCTCCGCTCTCAGTCCAGCGGCATCACCGCTAGGGAAAACAAGCCCAGCCTCGCTGCGAAGTGCCAAACTCTTCCCTCCTCGCAGCCTGCTGATAGATTTTAGGAGAGCCACTGAGATCCTCCCTTCCTGGCTTGCCCCCACCCAGCTCCCTTCCCCCGCAGGGTGAGGCAGGGTGCCTGAGGGACGGCGCCTCTTCTCCGTGCACCGCTACCGACTAAACCCCTCCGCGGGAAACGAACGGGGAAGCGTTCCAGCCGGAGCCAGCGGACCGGCCCCGAGTCCGGGGGGAGCAGGACCCGGAGGGCGGGCGGATGCGCGGCGGGAGAGGATGCGCGGGCGGCGGGGAGGCAGGCGGGGACGGACGAACAAGTTCTCTTTCTCTCCCGGGGCGGTTTCCGCGGCCGGCGGCGCTGGTGCGGGGCCGAGGGCAGCCGCGTGGGGCGGGCGCTCCCCGGCCCGCAGCGCACCCGCGCTGCCGCCGCGCAAGTGCGGGCGGGGGGCTCGCCTGGGGCCGGTCCCGGCCGCCTCCTCGCTCGGCCCCCCGCCCCCTCCGCACAGCGCGGTGGGGCGCAGGCGCCGGGGCTGCACCGTGTGTCCGCCGCTGCCGGTGCTCCGCACGCCGCTCCCGGGCACCTGGCACCGGCACSGCTCCCGAGCGGGGCGGGCAGCGCTGAGAGCATCTGGGGCCGCTGCACGCTGAGCGGGGGGAGGATGGAGGGCGGTACGGAGACCCCCGAGCCCTGCTGGAGCCCTGCCGCTCCGCAGGACGGGGCGAGCCCGGCCAACGCCGCCGGCTTGTTCAAAAGTTGCTGTGTAAACGAGCKTCAGTTTCTCGGATGACAACTGCAATAACACCCCAAACCCCCAAATCCTGTTCCCTGGTCCCCCTCTCCCCCCAGAATTTCCTTGTGTTTTAGGGTAAAGCAGCCCCTCTTAACACACACGCCTACCCCCCCCCCCCCCCCCCCCCCCCCCTTCCTTTTTTTTATTTTTCTGTTTCTCTTCGCAAACCAAGGAGTTGTTTATGTACACTCATCACTTCAAAAGTTCAATGACTGGACTGGGTTCTCCCCTGCAAAAAAAAAAAAAAATTATCTGCATGCTTGATTAAACGCACCGTGAATAATCCCATCCCCTACATTAATCTGTGAACAACGGCACGGAGACAGAAGCGAGCAGAGGGCACATCAATCAAACTCATACAAGCGAAAGGGGCACCGGGGACCGGGCGGCGGCTTTTTACCCGTTCAGCAAACTGTGGAGCTGGTAATCAGCTGAGCAACATGTAGARAGCCATGAATGCACCAGCCTCTCAGCACTTGCTACCAAATAATTAAATTAATTAGGAYGACAATTAAATTAATCAAATAAATAGGTCTACGGAATGTCAAACATAGSAGATAACTAATACTTAATCACAAAAGAACAACCAGTAACAAGACCGTGTTTTTCTTTAATTTATCACTGTTCCTGAGATAAAGAATTCATCAGCTCCGTTGTAAGTGCCTTGCTCTTTAATCATTGATGTGTTTATGTGTAAATCAAAGCATAACACCTGTGGGTTTAAGAAGTATATTTGAAGAAGAAGCAGAAATTTGCAAAATCTTTTCAATGTATATTGAAATATGATATTGGAGGATATTGCAAATAAGGTTTATACGATTGAGTTTATAGTGGGCCTTTCTAGCATCAAGCTTCTTGTACATACCCTTAAGTAAAACAAAGCAAAAAAGCAGTCTAACTATTGCTGAAAATAACTGCACAAAATATTTTCTATATTCTCTGTATAAGGGAATACTGGAGATTGTATGCATCAGGAATTAAATCCTGGCCTTGTTGAAATCTATGGAAATTCAGCGAGTGTTACTGCCTTCTATACCAGGTGATTTGGATTATGCCACAGACTTTTGTGTAGATTTTGTTGAGCTATTGCTGTTTCTTAAATAAAAATGTRAGACAGAAACTTCTTCATGCTATTGGAATACTACTTTTTGCTTGACAGTTGGTCAGATTGCTCAGTTTACCCAAAGTTTTGCTGAAATTATGAGAATTGTTGATCTTTTGGCCTTTACAGGAAGGGACAGGGAGGTAGTCTTAAAGAAGGGCTGACCACTCTTCTATTAGTTGMGAATAATTAGTTGAGAATAAGAACGGTAAGGTCTGTAATACCTTAAAAATCTGTTTTCATCTTCTTTTGTCCTWTTGTAAAATAATCATAAGGACATTATTGTAAAGTTATAGTAAATCTTAAAATACTAGAGGTTTGAATTTGAGAAAAAAGTTTCCACGTTGCTTATTCTAGCAATAATCTGTCAAGCCCTATATATATGGTATAGAKAAGCCTAAATGAGAACAAATAAAATTTTCTTTCATTTGCTCTCTGCTTCTCAGTCCTATAGTTTCAGACTTAAATTCTCCATAAATATGCTACAAAAACTGCATGCTGAAGAAAGGAAAGGATTAGCAGTAGACAGCTGAAGCATGTTGTTGTTGATAAAAGTGTCAGCAACATACTAGGTCCTACAGTCCTAATTTGTTGTGTTCTGTGCAGTTGTGGGACAGTTTTGCAGTGTGCCTGCTGCAAGGTTAGCACAGTCACAGCATTCGGTACATCTTGTTCTCCACAGAAAAAAAAACAAACTGTGTCCTCCAAAGAAGGCTGTGTGCATTGTGCTTTTTGCACTAGGGAACATATTTAGGACATAGCTTATCTTGGTATAATTGTATGTAAAAGCACAGGCAGAACTTTTTATTGCACTCAGAAAAAGCCTGAGGTGAAAGCTAATAATCAATCTTATAGTGATTAATGACAACATTGCTGGGAAGGCCTTCATTGCACAGAAGTTTATGCACTTGTTACTTCAAAGGCACAAATAAACCTAAAAGAACAACTTATTGCTGGCTGTCTGAAGTGATGGGCTGTTTTTACTTGAAACACAGTGCCTCTGATAGGTTTTCACTGCTCTTATGTGCTTTTATCTTTGCCATCCTTGCACATTATCTCACCTCTTTTAGGTATATATCTTGCAGTGGTATAAACAGCAGTGGTTCCATAGAAATCAATGAGAACACTTCCATTTCCACCAGTCAATAATATGGCATTATAATTTCTTTTCCAGTGCAATCCATCCTGGTTTATAACATCAATCACGCAGGAACAAAGGGTGGGAACTTTCTCTCTGTTCATTGTGTTTTACTGTCATACTGCTTGCAAGTGCCTGTTTTCACATATTTATTTAAGAATTTCCTTTTTTTTTTTTTTTTTTTTTTTTTTTTTTTTTTTTTTTTTTTTTTGTGGCTTTTTTTTTTTTTTGTAACAACATAGTATTTTCTATCTCCATGTTTTCTGGTCTTATTGCATTACTGATTATGAAAACCAGAGTTTTTAACATTTTTCTGTCTTTTTTGACATGTTGCTAGCTATTCTGTTTCAATAGGTACAAGAGAGGCACCTTTCAACTACACTCCTGTGAGCATCAAGTGCTAGCTTTGAACAATATGCTTTTTGCATTTGGGAAGCCAAGGGAGGATATCTCTGCTTAATTTGGGAAAAACAAACTGGTAGGGATAATTGATGCATTCCTGAGAGGAGGGAGAATACATCTTTATTCTCTTCCAAGAAAAAAAAAAAACGAGTTTTCCTGTTTGGTGAACTTGAACTTTCTGCTGTTCTGTAGAGGATTGTGTCTGCATATTAATAAATAGACTACAACCACCAATATTGTCTGCTGTAACTGACTGGTGTCTAGCAAATAACCTACTTTCCCAAMTGCAGAGAGAAAAAAATGTAAATAATTTTKGAGCCATAAATAATACTTGCCATGATTAGTCCCCACAGGGACAAAATTGGCTATGGGACCTTTACGGAGCAAGTAGTCCACTGCTTGATGAAATGAGTATCACAGATTGCARCTACACACAGGTTTTAATCACCAGGGGGGGAGTTTGCCACTGAGATTCACTCCTCCCTTTGGAGCCCTGCGTTTGGTGGGGCTCAGGAAGGTGGTTTGTGTTGCTGTTGAGAATTTGGCTGAGGCAGTAGGTTTAGTGTTGACAAAAAGAGGTGTTAGAGCTGTGAACTTAGAGTGCTGCCCAGCTGGCAGCTGCCTTTGACTTTGGGAGTTCAATGGAAGAGCACAGCATTTTAGCTGAATCACTAAAGGGCGCTGCAAAACTCAGATGTTAAGCATGAGGCAGGGAGGCAGCTTCCTTGTTAAATAGGGAAACACAGTAACTTTCCAGAGGAGCTGCACTGCACTTTAATACAAGCCTTTGTTTCTTTCCCTCTTCCSCTGGCTGGGAGGGCCTTGAGTCTCCCCACTCAGCCCGATTTTCTGGGGAAAGCACTGAGGTGCCCTTTCTGGTTGAGTCACATCCAGTAGGTTTCTGCTAGATTCCCTGTAACTCTCTGCGAGGGGCTATATGCAAATACATGAGTTTGCATAATTGTGCTTAATTAGATCTGTCCGTTCTGTGGCTCTAAGAGCTGTGTGGTTAACGCTAGTGCAGCTTTGTTCAGTGGAGCTTTCTGCTTATCTCTAGGACAGCAGGACTGCAAACSTCCCACATGCACTGCCTTTTGCCTATGCCACGACACATGGCTAGGGAGAGTTTCTTTTGGGGTAAAGAGAGTTCACATTCATGGCCTGGTAGACACTTTGTGAKGTGGAAAGTGGAACTCAGTCTCATTATCTCACACAGTGATAAAGTGGTTCTCTGGAAATTTGAGGAGGGGAAAAATTAAAGAGGAACATTTCAGTAAGTGAGGCAGCTTGCAAAAATAATAGAGTTTGAGGTTAAACAAAAAGTTTAATCCAAAACAGTTTTGATATTTATTTGAACTCTAAATTATTTTGAAAGAATGGAATTGGTTTTGAAATGGAACACACTTCCAGAAAGAAAAACCAAAATGTTCCAGCTAAAGTTCAATTATTTGAACTCAAGATGCTTCAAACTTATTCTTTCAATGAATCTGTGTTTGCAAAAACATTGACAAAGGCAAAAGCTATGCTGCACCAAACAATGCCTTTGCCTGCTTGTGATTGGGAGCTACAAGGATGTTACTCAACTTTGTAAACCACAAGGCAGCAAATCCCAAAACAGGGCCTGGGAGTTCCAAGTCACACACCCCAACCCTGCAACTCCAGCAAAGGCTGTGGTTGTGACCCTTACTCGACTTCTGTCCAGCACAGTGATAGCTACGGACTCAGGGCTGGAGGAACTAGAAGGTTTCCTGAATGCTTGTGGCAGGGACAGGTTTAATAGAGAAGTTAATATTTCAGTATAGCACTGGTCAGCAGGCTAAATTAAACCCATAGGAGAACTGAAAGAACCTAAAGGGTGACACAGAAGGGAGAGCAAGCATGGAAATGAAAGTGAGAAGAAAAAACCAATTTTGTCAGTGACATTTCTCTGTTG